GAGAAATGTTTCTTGAGCAGCAAATCAGCATATTAGAATGATTTCTGAAGGATCATGTGACACTAAAGACTGTAACATGGCTGCTGAAAATTCAGCTTTGCCATGACAGGAATAAATTAAAATTAAATAAATTCTAACATGGAAAACACTTATTTTAAATTTTAATAATATTTTGCAATACTACTGTATTTTTGATCAAATAAATGCAGCTTTGGTGAGGAAGAGAGACTTTCAAAAACGAACAAACTAACTAATATGCATTCTAAATGTTACTGTAAGCCTTTCTCTTTTGGGAAAATCAATATTTTTGATCCAATCAAATGCCCTCTTGAATAAGAATCTCCCCTCTCCCTAATACCACCTGCAGATGAATCACATTAACAAGCTGCAAATCATCAAGGTTTGTGACTCTGATGTAACAAAAGTTTTTGTGTGACTTTAAAAGAAACATGCCCCACCCAAACTTCCTGCTTTAATCGGAAATACATCAATACATGAAAGAAAAACTGCACTCATCAAGCAGTATCATGATGAAGAGGAGAGCAGCTTACAATGAGTCATGCTGATCTGAAAATAACCGTCCTGCACTTTAACACAGTGTTATCAGCTCTGTAGAGAGAAATGAAGGCCGACACACATGAACACATGTGCTGTGAAATGTTTCTTCTGCTCTCATTTACACTGTTTGCTCATGTGCTTTCTCTTTTCAAATTTCTGCCCTGAACAGCATTGCAAATGCAAAGGAAATAAATATTAATCGATACATCAATTCACAGGAAATGGAGAGGGAAACTGTCCCACCAGTCAATGTGTACTACTTGAGTATTGCATGGATTTTGGCTGAACTAAATGCATTGGACTTAATCATTTAATTCAGTTTAAATCACCTCAGAACTGGTTGCTATATGCAGTTGTTTGTGGGTATAAAGTGCTCAAGATGCAACAGTTACAGTGCCATTATCATGATCAGGAGTCACATAACCAAACCACATGTATTTTCATGTTAAACCTCACAGCCATATATCACTAAATTTAAGGGGTTTGAGTATGGTAATTTATTACTTAACATACAAATGTATTATTTAATATATAAATACATGTGAGTAGTGAACATGTTCATTAATTCACCGCTCTTTCTCTCTTTCAGCCCATGAAGCCTCTTAAAGCCACAGCTACTACATCAAAGCCAGTGCTGACAATGGAGCAGATTGAAACTATTTTCTTCATGATCCAAGATATCTTTGTGATCCATAAGGAGTTTTATGATGCTATTTCTCCCAACATTCAGCAGTGGGATGAGAAGGTCACAGTCGGACATCTCTTCCAGAAACTGGTGAGTCCTCCTGCCACATAGTGTCCTGCCAAACACGCCGTTCAAAGGCCCTAGATGGTAATTCTAAATACATGACCCTCTATGTAGTGTACAATACGGACCAAATGTTTAGGGTCAGTAAAACATTTATTCAGCATTAAATTGATCAAGATTGACAGTAAAGACATTGATAATGTTACAAAAGATTTCTGTTTCAAATAAATTGCTGTTCTTTTACATTTTCTATTCTGAAAAAAAGTATCATGGTTTCCACAAAAAATATTAGCAGCACAACTGTTTTCAACATTTATAATAATAATATGCAACAAATTTATATTAGAATGATTTCTGAAGGATCATGTGACACTGAAGATTGGAGTAATGACTGCTGGAAATTCAGCTTTGCCATGACAGGAATAAATTACATTTTAAAATGATTTGAAATAGAAAACCGTTATTTTAAACTGTAATAATATTTCACAGTATTACTGTTTTTACAGTATTTTTGATCAAATAAATGCAGCCTTGATGATGATAACAGATGTCTTTGAAAAACATTACAGGGGTCATGAAATGAAGAATCAGAATGTTCTTGATATTTGCACATATAAGAGGTTACTCTACAATAAAACCATACTGCAAGTTTCACAACTCAAAAATGAATTCTCAGTTTAAAAAATTAATTATTTTTTTTAGTCCAGATTTTAAATCAGGAGCCCTTTAACATGCACTAAATATAATGCTAGAATCAATCAAGCTGTTGTAGTAAAAACACAGTAAAAGTATTTGATTGAGTTCCACATGTAATGCTCATTTCATATGTACAGTACAGATGTTACTCAGTCACACAGTGTGATTTTTAATTGAACACTGGATTTAGTCTTTACTGTTTAACCCTTCATTTGAGACTTCATCTCTTGCATTATATATTCATCTCTGTTTATACGGGTATGTACTATATGTGTGCTCATATCTAGAAGACAGAATGCATCTTGCACTACTTTGCCAGACTGTATAAATGCACTTGATAAGAGCAGAAGGATAGAAGAGCATCTGTTGAGACTGAAAGAAATATCAGATAGGAGATGCCTAAGTACTGCCAGATGAAATTGAAACACTCCGCTCTGTTTAGTGTGTGTGTGTGTGTGTGTGTGTGTTTGCATGAAACCGGAGAAACAGACACTCCACATGTCTATGTTGGCTATAAAGCTGTCTAGGTAGACAGCTGACTAGGGTTTGCTGATGTCTCATTGACAGACTCTAGATGGAGTGCAGCATTTCAGTTAGCTCACTCTTTTTGAGCTTTATTCTTACTCTTTTTTTTTTTCTTACTCTTTTTTACTCTTTATACTTACTCTTTTTTTCTTTATTCTTATTAGAATAAAATAATTCTAATGCTGATTTGGTACTCCAGAAACATTTCTTATTATTTTCAGTGTTGAAAACATTTGTGCTGCTTAACATTTTTGGAAACCGTTATCCATTTTTTTTTCTTTGATGAATATAAAGTTCATAAGAACAGCATTTATTTGAAATTGAAATCTTTTGTGAAATTACAAATGTTTTATTGTTGCTTTTCATCAGTTTAATGCATCTTTGCTGAATAAAATTATTAATTTATTTAAAAAAAATTAAAATCGTCTCCAAGCTATTGAACAGTAGTGTAAGTTAAACAGAACCATGAATATGCTGAATGTATTATGCACAATATTAACATAAAAATAATTTATTAAGGGTTGTGGGATATGTGAATGACTGGTGATTTCAGAACAGTTAAAAGTTAAGTGGGCCTCATCATTCTGATGTTTTGGTGATATGTAGTCAAGCTGAGTGATATACAATATTTATCTCAATATTTTTTAGCCTTTTGACAATATTTGATGTGTATCTCAATGATTATGCATTTTCTGCATGACTTGTAATGTAATTTCCCTCTTCCAGTTAGGGGAACTATATAAGGCCTAAACAACTATTGTTGAGCAGATTTCAAATGTTTAATTCAAGATAATAAAAAAAAAAGTTTTAAAAAGTATAGTTAAAATTATAAAAAAAAATGATTGAGTCCTCTGTTCATCACAAAATAAATGCAAGAATTAATTGTTTCATTTTATTTGTTAGTACCAATATAAAAAATACATAGTGAAACTACTAGTACAGTAATTAGAAAACTTAACCACTCAAATAAAAAGCACATATAATACATATGTACAATATTCATTATGCTTTCATAATTATAAATCAATAACAAAACAATAAAGAATGCATCTTAAATGTATGTCATTATCTTTTGCTGTTAAGTTAATTATTCCACTCTGAATGGATTTTGTTGGGCCATACCCAGCATGCATTACTGCTCATCATTACAGGATTTACTTCATTTATCTCCTAAACCAAACGTCAGATGGCAGGAGTTTATGAAACATGACTTTTCTGAAGAGTTTTCTCCACACACACACACACACGTGATTAGTAAAACATCGTGACAGTGGTTGAGTTAGCAGATGGAGTAATTACAGGCTCCCTATTGCTCTGGAAACTCATCGAAGAGGAAAAGAAGCATGAAAGACTAAGACTAAAAGAGACCAGAAGAAAAAAGTTCTGTGTTTGAACTGAAGGAAAGGTTTAGGATGAGCAAATCCAGACGGAGTGGATTAGAGGCAGAGTTTCTCTCTATTAGTCACCCTTCACTCTTTCTTTCTTTCTTTCTCTCACTCATTAGCTCTGACTTCTCTTCCCACAAATGTTTCTCTCTTCTTTGTGACGTGCGTATTAGTGCTCGTCTGTGGATACGCTTGGTGAAAAGTCAGAGCGCTTGATGTGGGGTTGCTAGGCGACGACGGCATGTCCGTGTGATGTGTTGTGTTCCAGACTTCTCTCGAGCAGCGGGAGAGAGGAGCATGCTGGGATGGAGTTTGAGCATACAGGGTCTCATCATGCAGTTCTCACCTCAGGGCACAAATATACAGCAGTCCATAACCTTACAGAAGTCAGGGATAACAACAGAGAAGATGGGTCATAAAAGACAACAGGAAGAGAGAGCTAGAGGTCAAGTCAGAGTTTGAATGACAGCGCCTTAGATCTTTTTGCTTTGTTAATTCTGAAAAAGTGGTAGACCAATATATCGCCATGCCCAAAATATTTAATTCCACATTAAACATTTATCGTCTGGTTTTTATTTAACAATATATGATTGTGATTTAACAGGTCGCAGACTTACCAGACCAGTGTTTACTTTTTATTAATGTTTTTAACAATTTAATTATTTTTAGAAAATGCCATGAAAGTATTACAGAATCAAGAAGTTTTTAAGGATCTGAAGTAAAAATCTATTTATTTGCAAATTCATTTACATTTATTGATTGAAATAAATAGATTTATTTATAATAATTAAAATGATTTGCATTTATTTTCGTAAATATTGCATCAAATAATTAAATTAAATGTATTAATTGTTATGTTTGTGTTATTTACTATCTTTAAATTAAACAGTGTAATATCATATCGATTGGCTTTATACTGTAAATGCCAATGGCCAACCTGCTCTCTAAGATATCGACATCGGCCTTCAAAAAAAACTGGATCGGTTGACCACCAATCTGAAAAATGAAAACTACAGCTTTAAAAAAATATATATATTTGGACTTTGAAGAGTTTTAAAGTATTCAGATCAATAGTGTTTTTTATTCCTCATATATTCATATGATTAATTAACCACTTCACAAATTAATTTACTTTTTGGGTGATAGAAAACATTACTTTAGTTTGAAAGAAAACTAGTCTTTGTTATATTTCCACATTGTCAGGGCAGAAAAAAAAAAAAGCCAAGAACCCCAGGGCCGGATTATCCATAGACAGGATTGGGGGGAAAAAAAAGGGCTACGGTACAGACCAAGTGTACTCGTTGCACTCAGACTGTTCTTAACCCTGCCCGTTACCAACTGCGAGGGCGAGAGATCCTTCTCTCAACTTAAAAGAGTGAAGAATGAACTCAGGACAACCATGAGACAGAAGCATCTGTCTGCACTCTCCCTGCTGGCTATTCAATCCTAGAGCCCTGTACAGGCCTCAAATATATGCCCTAGAACGGCCCTTGTCCGTTATCAGAATTCTCGGCCCGAGTCCGACCTGAGCCCATCTTTTTTACCCCTTCTCCCAAAACAGCTTATAGGCTATTACTGTTTTAGCGATTAAAATAGTTCAGTTTTGTATGTAATGGCAAAGTTATTATATTTTGTTTCGTTTTTTTATTAAGTTAATTTAGAAAAACGTTTGGAGCATTTTTTGTTCGTTAAATGTAAGTTTTTTTTGTTTTGTTTTTTTGTTTTTTTAAGTAACGGCCAAGCGGTCAGCAGAAGACAGTGAGTTGATCATAGTCTGTTGGATCAATTTAGACTTCTCAAGTCATCACGACTCGCCTAAAATAAAATCTATAGATATAAAACAGTTCAAGTATATATCACAATGTTAGTTTAAAGTTTAACCTAGATTTATTTATTTTATTTATTTATTTAGTCATTTAGCAGATGCCTTTATCCAAAAGTGACTTACAAATGAGGACAACAGAAGCAAAGCAATTGTAGTATTAAAACAACTAAAAACAGATCCAAAACTAAAAGCTAAAACTTTATAAATACTACTTATACACATTTTAAAAATAAAGAAATTAAATAAAAATGACAAATGCATACAACAAAATTTCGAAACAAGTAGTAGGAAAGAGGAGAAATAAAAAGCGATACTCATCCTTTGCCGGTGTCCCTGCCCGGTGAAGTCGCACGGTAGAGTCGATGCTCTTTACACTCTTCGGTCTTCACACGAGGAGGCCGTCACGCGACGGCTGCCGCGGTAAACTAAGCTTTTTTATACCCATCTAACAAAATACTAAATTAATTCAGCTGGACACACTTTCCTTATTTTCTCCGCAACGATAAAGACTGCTTCTCTCAAAGAGTATTTCTTTACACTGTTTTCTGCTGGCACTTGAACACACTTTCCTTATTTTTTCCACAACATATGGCCAAGCAAGCGCAGACACTGACAAGATACGCGATACAGAATGAGACCAAACGCGATATCAGCACATCTCCACACAGTCAACAAAACAAGAAATAAAATGATAAATTCACCTAGATAAATGCGTTATTAGGCGCATATCCAGTCGTGCGGAGAGTGGAAGCTGAAGCGTGCTCTGCAGGACATGGAGTCGCCGGCGCGATCACTTGTAACAGTAGAAACAACTTAAAATACGCCGTCATGTTTGCTCATAAAGGTAAGAGTAATACATCATTCGGAACTGTAAAGGGTCTACTTTTATTTGTGTGCAATCACAATATCAACAAAATGTTGTGCTTTTATATAATAAAGAAAACAAACATGATGCGCTTTCTGCCGTCTCGGTCTTGAAAAGGAGCGCTTCACAAAAATGAACCGAAACTCAGTGAATACATGCCTCACAGACATGATAAATATATCTATAGAAAGCTTTAAATCACTACTTTAACTAAATAATTAAAATCGAAAACAAAAACTCTTTCATTAATCCGTAAAGATGCATTTCTCTCTTCTTGTGCTCGCTACTGCTGCTGCTGGCAGAGACACTACACTGCTACGGGGGGGCACTTCCACTGTGGTCACCATAGGGCACTACACTGTGTTAATCTGGGCCTGAAGAACCCGGCACACAATGCTTGGTAAGAGAGCTCCTGAAACAGTATTAAAATGACAAGTCTCATAATTCTGCTAACAGCTCGCAGACATCTGGTTTTGAAATGCGGTTAAATTTTGGCTGGTTAACATCAAAACATCTCTCTGTTTGAGCATCCCGAGCAGCCTGACATGGCAACATTGGCTGAACCAATGGTGTGAGTTTGGGTCAAGACTACCTCTTTGCTGAACCAATGCAGATGGGGTGGGGGGAGTGTTTGGGAAAAAATTGCGAAAACAGCCATTTTATGTGCAGTTCCTTTTGATGATGCTGGTGCCGAAGATATGACACACTTTGAGCTTTAATAGCAGGCCCCAAGATGGTTATGGTTCACTCTGTATGGGCATCATAACAGTTCTTCATGTTCCTCTGACTGTTATTACAGCAAGAGATCTGAAGTGGTGTGATAAAGCCTGCTTTAAACTTCACTTCTCTGTCTTTCGGTCTCCAGAGCCCTCAGTAGAAGCTCTGTTGTCTGTATCTTGTGTCTTATCTCGAGGATGAACTCGCTTCAGCAGAAAGCATCCACTGTGAACACACTTTGATGAATGTTCCAATAGGTCTACAGATGAAATTAATGTTTCAGCATTGCCATTTTTCAGTCTCTTTCATCCCTCTGTGTCTCCAGCTTCTAGTTCTTCCATTCTTTTGCTCCTCTTCTCTGTGGTTTTCCTGTACCATCACCTTTCTCTCTCTGCCTGTGTTTATATTGAATTTAACATGTTTCCTCTGCTTGTTTCTTAGGCCAGTCAGCTCGGTGTGTACAAAGCCTTTGTGGACAACTATAAAGTCGCAGTGGAGACAGCAGAGAAATGCAGCCTGGCCAACAGCCAGTTTCAGAAGATCTCTGAGGTGAGCTCAGCTACCTCCTACCACCTGACACTATAGGCCCAGATCATTACTGTCTACAGTACATACTACATACTACTAATGAGGTGGAGCTAATGTTTGAAATGGTCAGGAATTGGCCATTGTCCAGTCATTGATCAGTATTGAATGTTCCCCAATGTAGATTAAAAACTATATCTGATCTTTTTAATATAGAAATATGAAATGATGGGTAAAAAATAGATGATAGATTACTTTTAAATATGAAACTCAAACTGCCGGTAAGTGGAGGCAAGTTACTGTATTAGTGAGTCTTTGACTCAACCAATTTGTTCAAAATGGCTGATTCATTCAGGAACTAAGCATGTGACTGTCTTTATTAATGTGTCATTGAATCGTTTACTGAACTGATTTGTTCAAAAATGCCGATTCATTTAGTAATAAAACCACAGTGTATTCCTTGGAGATGAACAATGGTTCTACTGTGAATTAGTTAGTAACTATTTTCGTTGGTGAAATAGATCATATGATAATGATCAATAGATAATATGGTGAATATTTTCAATGTGTCTAAAATGTAACTTAATATTAATATTCAGTTAAAAAAAACACCACAGGGCTTTTTTGCCCCATATCTATGAATTTTGGGGGCATTTGTATTCATTTTGGCATTAAGAAAAAAAGAATGCTGGTTTTCTGAAAAGAATTGCTTTCTGTCACACTTGCATATAAAAATTTGTTAAACGTTTTAAAAAGAATGGATTCATTCATACATTATATAATAAACGTTGATTAAACGTTGCAAGGTGTGATATTTTTTAACATGTTTTTGAATGCTGGTTTTCTGAAAAGAATTGCTTTCTGTCACACTTGCATATAAACATTTGTTAAACGTTTTAAAAAGAATGGATTCATTCATACATTATATAATAAACGTTGATTAAACGTTGCAAGGTGTGATATTTTTTAACAGCATATTTAACAACAAAGAGCAAAAGCTCTTTAAAACTTTCAGTTTTTATATCTATTATATACACGTAACACATCCATTACAATATTAGTGGCGTTTTTTTCACTATTTTTTCACTATTACTATTTCTCATACTTATTTAAACATACCCCCAACTTTAACTATTAAACATGCTCACATCTTGTTCTGCATCTACATCTTATTTTGATGCCTCAGACCTTGTTTGGCAGATGATAAAATGGGAAGAAATCCCATAGACTTACATTGGAACCACCCAGCCATATCTAAACCCCCCAATATATTGTGGGGGGTGAACTCTTTTGACCTTCCAACACCATAGCAACCGCATAGCAACGAGCTAAAACTACTCAGGACATCTTAGAAACCGCATAGCAACACTATTGCAAGTTATATAACTAGTTATCTAGTTATAATCATCATCAGCTTGGTGCGTTTACTCATACACACACATGCACAAGAAGCCTTCCGCATCACATTTCTCTTCATTATTCCATACAGGAAGTATGCGTCACATTCTGCTGCCTCAGCCAGACATGAGCTCTGTATGTGTGCTTGTATCTGTGTTTATTTATAGTGAGCATCTTCTCTGTCGACAGAATCTGAAAGTTAAAGGTCCTAAAGAATCCAAGGACTGCACCACAACTGCCACCATGGAGGGTAAGAGTGTATCTATTGATCAGTGATGTGTGTGTGTGTGACATGCATGAGTGATCTGCATTTACAGAGCCTGAATCCGGTAGAATGTGAGCTGATGTGTCGATTGGCGGTTCATTGAGAGAGTTGATGGTTATGAATGAATGAGTGAACTGTGAGCAGTGTCTCTTTAAGAATGAGTTCAGCTCTGCGTCTTCCTACTTGTGTATGCAGCATTCACAGCTCAAATGTGTGTGAGTGTGAGGAAGAGTGCGTGCGTGCTTTCATTCTGAGTGTTTTGGAGAGCGGGAGAGCAGGAGTGTGAGTCTCTCTCTCTGGCTCTCTCTCGCTGTCTTGGTGGTGTTTGTGAGGGATGGATAAAAGGGGGTGCAGAATGAGAAGGAAGTAGTGAGAGAGCAGTTAGAGAAGACTGCAGGATCGGTGGAAGTTTGTCATGGAGGTTCTGCTGGTTCTCCGGTTGTGTTGTAACTGCACCTATGGTAACTATATTGCATTTTAATGCTTTGCTAGTCTGGATGAGTTTCAATTTTTGATTGTTGTGCGGTTTGGTTTAAGAATTTGTTTTGTGTCCATGGTTTCTGATCAGAAGATCGAACCATTCTAGAGCTTCTAGAGTTCTGCTTGTAAACAGGTCTGATCTAATTTCAGTGCAGTAGGAAGTCTTGTAATTCTGCATGTGCTCTGATATTTCATTGCAGTTGTAAGACCTCAAGCATAATGGCACTTATAAAACCGATAATTACGATTCTAGTTCCTAAATTGGTCAATATTGCATTCTAGCTGTGATAAAATATGCAATGTAGTAACAACAACACACTGTGTACCATATATGACTGCATAGCGCACATAGGGATCAGTTATTAATCCTAGTTCACATGTCAGGGACCATATTGTCAGTTGGATGATGATACAAAATATATAAGCATAAAATAATGTCTTATGAAAATTGATGTCTTCAATTTTTCGTGTTGTTCCTGATAATGCCCTTCAGCTATGACTGTATTCATAATATAGCACAACTTCTCATAACTTGTTACTTTAATATGCATTAGACAAAGCTCTGACAGAGTGTTGGACAGATTCCAAGTTCCACGTGGAAAGATTCGAATGGGTTTGAAACCAAGAAGGAATACTGTAACATTTTTTTTTCCAAATGAACAACTGGAACTGCCTATCCAATTCTCATATAATTTTCATATCTATTTATAATAGGGTAATGCAGAGAAAAAACGTGTTAAATGCAAATGATAAACTGCAACTAACCATATACAGTACTGTAAGCATGAATAGTACATAGATATTACTTTTTAAAAGGTAAGAGAAAATGCTTTATTTTTATCATTTTATCTAGGGCTGCACGATAAATCGCATGCGATATTTAACGCGCATCTTATCAGTGAAGCCGGTTCTGTAATCAGCGGTAAATCTCCATCACCTGCTATCCCATATATTTTGGTGTTGACAGACACACATCATTGAAGACTGCATGTCTAAACTCTACGAAACAACATAAGATGAAAATAAAAATGTGACTAAACTAAAAACACTTTCACTTGCAGTGAGGATAAACATGGTTTGCGCCAACTTTTTTTTTTTCTTTTCTTTTTGTGGTGTATTGAATTACTACAATTCAACAGGCATATTTAGTATGTTTAACCTTCCTGTTTAACCTTGTGTTACTCATTTAGCATAGTATTAAACATGTACTAAATTGTTTATTTTAAAGACATTTTTCTATACAGTTAGTATGATAAACAATTTTGGTGTTAATTACCATTGTAAAAACTAGTTGAGGAACACTGTAGTGAATGATAACAGACTGCCATCTGACTTTCAATGTGTTGCTTTATGGACATTCATTCATGTGTGTATGTGTTGTTTGTATGCATTTACTCCTTTGAAGTTCCTCAATCACCCCAAGGTGACTGGAGGATTATCCCCCACATTGCAGTCACCACAGTGATGATAGATGATAGACAGATAAAGGTAGACATTAAAGTGCACAAGTGGTGTAGACAGAGGAATAACAATATAGAAAGATTGGAACAAACATCAAAGAATTGATCAAAATTCTCCTGTGCACTTTCTCTCTCATGCAATACATTTTTTTGCTGCCAAATTATAGACATTCAGATGTAATCAGCCCCTTCAAGAGTTGATCCAAATCTGTGTCAGAGTGTAAACAAGGGATGAAATGGAGCAAAAGAAACACAAGAGAAAATGTGAGAAGTGTGACACTAAACGGGCACACACTGTTGTAATCAGATCGATTTGTGGAATGCAATATAACATACATCAACAAAAAAAAAGAGGGTTTTTTTATGTTTAATATTTGTCTTGTGTGAGCATGACTCACATGTTATCAGCCCACAGCAGTTTTTTGCAATATTTGTTTTCCTCTTCTAGAGCTAGTTATGTTGTTAGACTCATAACAGTGACATTTAGATTAAATCATCTCCCAGTGACACTCAACTCGCAGTGCTTTGTAATCATATATGTGTGGGTGGTTTGAGAAAATATGGAAAATAGGAAGACGTTTTACTGAGTTAAAAGTTGGAAGTCTGACTCAGAAGCTAATATAATTTCCCTCATTTATGAAAGTTGCATATGAATTAAAACTGTTTTAATGTTTTAAAGAGATGCCCTCCATTCTGCTTTATACTTTGTATATACTTTAACCAGTATATTTTAATGTCTATAATAAGTGAGAATTATTGTATGTTGCCATAATGGAAGGTCCTTGCAAAGTGTGTAATCTGTCATCTGTTATAATCAGAGATTGAAAGTGATCCAATTCGTTGATTAATCTCACAACGAATATTAAACTCTGGTCCTCTTTTTCTCTGTCCAGCGGGATGAATTTATGGGAAATCAGTAGCTCTATTGATCTAGAGGGGTTTATTCTGTGACTGTATGTGAAGGGCATCTTGAACTCAAATTAGTATGCAAGTGTCTGTGCTGAGATGTGCTTCAAGGTTGTGATTGGATGTCATAACCTAAAGCAACTGTCCTGGGCTGCATTTCTCTAAAGCATTGTTAGTCTAAGTAGTTCATAGAGAGCACTGGTGCCAATGCTACTTAGGCTAAAGATGCTTTTGGGAAATGCTGTCCTGATTGGTTCCCTTTCAGATCCAATCAGCTGTGATTGGTCAGGATTTGTGAGGTGTAATGAGCTAGAATCCACTGGCTACATCCACAAAGAACACCCTAGCAATGCCCTAGAAACCATGTAGCAATGCTGTAACAACGTCAAGTAGAAAAAATCACGAAGAACACAATAGCAACTGCCTTCCTAACACCCAGGACTCCAAAACCCATAGCAATGCACTATAGCAACCGCCAGAACACCACAAGTTACAACAACCATTGCAACACTGTAGCATCCACAAAGAATACCCTAGCAGTGTCCAGAAGCAATCTAGCAACACTATAGTAACCGCAAACTGTAACAGTATTAACTGCCTAGGTAACCCCCACAACACGATAACCCATAGTAACCACCTGGCAATGCCTTAGCAACCTCCGAGCATACCATAACTCATAGCAACAACCTAACAATGCCCTAGCAACACTGTAGCAACCACACAGAAAACCATACCAACTGCCAAGTGACCTAGTGAACACCATAACCCATAGCAACCACCTAGCTAGCACACTGTAACAACCACAAAGAGCACCCTAGCAACTCTGTAGTGAACACTCAGAACATCATAACTCATAGCAACCACCTAGTAATGCCATAGCAACTGCCCAGCACACAATAACTCATAGCAACTGCCTAGAAATGCCCTAGCAACCAACTAGCATACTGTAACAACCACAAAGAACACCCTAGCAACTGCCTAGTGGCCACTCAGAACACTATGACTTATAGCAACCACCTAGCAATGCCATAGCAACCACCTAACAACACTATAGCAACCACAAAGAACATCCTTGCAACTGCCTAGTGACGGCTTAGAACACCATAACCCATAGCAACAATTTAGAAATGCCATAGCTACCACCCAGAATGCCATAACTCATAGCAACCAACTAGCAATGCCCTAGCAACCAGCCAACAACACCATAGTTACCACAAAGAACACCTTAGCAACTTACTCGTGGCCATCCTGAACATTGTATCCCATAGCAACCGCCTAGCAATGCTCTAGCGACCACAAAGAACACACTGGCATCTTTCTAGCAACCACCCAGACAAACACCTAAACAACTCAGCAAAACGCTAACACTCTTTCAGGACATCCGAGATTCGCAGCACCGTTCCAACCTCCCAAACATTGTGGCGACAAGTTTTGCACGGACAAGCAAAATTCCACAAATTTTGCCCCAAAAACACCATAGAAAAAATGCTGATAAAGCCCTGTAAATGCTAATGCAAATGAACACTGGCATGAGAGAGACAAGACTGATTACTCCTTTTATATCTTAATTGATGAATGACGCTGTAGTTTCCCCTTGTAAATCTACTTGTTCACCTCACTCCTCTGTTCTCCTACTCAAACTTTTCTCTTTCTCTACTGTAATACATCAGCGATGCAGAGGCTCATGGGAAATATGCCCTGTCAGAGAGCTCTGTTCTGTTGCGATGTGATTCTGTAATTAGATGAATTGAGCGTGAGTGAGAAGGGACTGCTGAGAATCGTCATCCATTAGAGTGAAAGACAGCAGGACCACCACAGGACCCACTGTAACCCTGTCAGATGACGAAGATGTGCATGTGCAGAATTCTCCCACTAGTGCTGTCAAAGAAATGAGAGACAACGCTCTTTCCTGCACATTGCTCACAGGAGACCCTTATTTGACTGTGTGTGTCAGTATAGTATTTTCAGTATAGTATTTTTAAAACTGTGTGTAGCAGTGCTCCTTGTGTGTACATGGTACTTCTTGGAAAACAATAGTCTGACCTTGATAAGCGACAAACGGAAGCAGAACAATATCGTTGGAATCACTTTCGTTTCACAGCTGATAAACAATAAAAACATTGACAGCCATTCAGAATCCACCTGACTTTAAAGAGCTTGCACATTTAAAGGAGCAAAACACATATCTGCAGCTCGCACTTACAATACAGAATATAAAACAGAATTGTATCTGTACTGTATGTGTGTTGGTGTGGATGCTTATATCTTTATTATTACAGTTATCGTTCTTAGTGTGAACAGTCATTTTAAATTGTGCTTTTAGTGCAGTATTGAATTTTGGTTGCATCCTTTGTTGCTCATGTGGGAGACACAGCATAAGTAATAAATAATTAATAATAAGTAATTATAATAATAATAATAACAATACTGCAAAAAATATCTTTTTCTTGAATTTAATGAATTTATTTGAATTATATCATCTTAAATTTAATGTATTTAATGAACAGTGATGGTGTCATCATCATAATGTTGCATTATCATCATAATCATCATAAGACAATGTTGCATTATCTGTTTATTACATACTCACCACTAGGGCTGTGCAAAAAATCAAATGCGATTTTCATGCGCATCTCGTCAGTAAAGCAGCTCCTGTGATTAGTAGTAAATCTCCAGCACGTGTGTTCAGATGGAGCGGCATTTACTACACAGAGCCGTAGTTCACT